TCGTAAAGTCCCTAAGAATTAGCAGTTTGTTACAGTCCTGAATTGTAAGGAATACTTTAGTTAAATGTGCCTTAGTTGTAAGGTAATTGTTTAATGCTAAATATTATTTTAGTAAAATACGCCTTAATTTTAAGGTGGTTTATTCGACTTTAGTCGTAAAGTCCCTAAGAATTAGCAGTTTGTTAAAGTCCTTAATTGTAAGGAATACTTTAGTTAAATGTGCCTTAGTTGTAAGGTAATTGTTTAATGCTAAATATTATTTTAGTAAAATACGCCTTAATTTTAAGGTGGTTTATTCGACTTTAGTCGTAAAGTCCCTAAGAATTAGCAGTTTGCTAAAGTCCTTAATTGTAAGGAATACTTTAGTTAAATGTGCCTTAGTTGTAAGGTAATTGTTTAATGCTAAATATTATTTTAGTAAAATACGCCTTAATTTTAAGGTGGTTTATTCGACTTTAGTCTTAAAGTCCCTAAGAATTAGCAGTTTGCTAAAGTCCTTAATTGTAAGGAATACTTTAGTTGAATGTGCCTTAGTTGTAAGGTAATTGTTTAATGCTAAATATTATTTTAGTAAAATAAGCCTTAATTTTAAGGTGGTTTATTGGACTTTAGTTGTAAAGTCCCTAAGAATTAGCAGTTTGCTAAAGTCCTTAATTGTAAGGAATACTTTAGTTAAATGTGCCTTAATTGTAAGGTAATTGTTTACTGCTAAATATTATTTTAGTAAAATACGCCTTAATTTTAAGGTGGTTTATTGGACTTTAGTCGTAAAGTCCCTAAGAATTAGCAGTTTGCTAAAGTCCTTAATTGTAAGGAATACTTTAGTTAAATGTGCCTTAATTGTAAGGTAATTGTTAACTGCTAAATATTATTTTAGTAAAATACGCCTTAATTTTAAGGTGGTTTATTCGACTTTAGTTGTAAAGTCCCTAAGAATTAGCAGTTTGCTAAAGTCCTTAATTGTAAGGAATACTTTAGTTAAATGTGCCTTAATTGTAAGGTAATTGTTTACTGCTAAATATTATTTTAGTAAAATACGCCTTAATTTTAAGGTGGTTTATTCGACTTTAGTCGTAAAGTCCCTAAGAATTAGCAGTTTGCTAAAGTCCTTAATTGTAAGGAATACTTTAGTTAAATGTGCCTTAGTTGTAAGGTAATTGTTTAAAGTAAAATACGCCTTAATTTTAAGGTGGTTTATTCAACTTTAGTCGTAAAGTCCCTAAGAATTAGCAGTTTGTTAAAGTCCTTAATTGTAAGGAATACTTTAGTTAAATGTGCCTTAGTGGTAAGGTAATTGTTAAATGCTAAATATTATTTTAGTAAAATACGCCTTAATTTTAAGGTGGTTTATTCAACTTTAGTCGTAAAGTCCCTAAGAATTAGCAGTTTCTTAAAGTAATTAATTGTAAGGAATACTTTAGTTAAATGTGCCTTAGTTGTAATGTAAGGTAATTGTTTAATGCTAAATATTATTTTAGTAAAATACGCCTTAATTTTAAGGTGGTTTATTCGACTTTAGTCGTAAAGTCCCTAATAATTAACAGTTTGTTAAAGTCCTTAATTGTAAGGAATACTTTAGTTAAATGTGCCTTAGTTGTAAGGTAATTGTTTAATGCTAAATATTATTTTAGTAAAATACACCTTAATTGTAAGGTGATAATTTTCAACGAGTTGAAATTCTTTTCTTAGTCAATGTTCCTTGATTTTAAGGAATATGAGTTCTTTTCTTAGTCAATGTTCCTTAATTTTAAGGAATATGAGATAAAGCTTTAATTTTAAAGCCACTTTCCATATAGACTGTTCTGTTTTGTTATTTTATAAAGTTGTAGTATGAATTTCTTTTAGTTTTTAAATCATTTGTTATTTGTTGGTACCTTTCTATGCTTAAACATTTAGTATTTGTTTTATCAGATTGTAAATTCCTTTGCTGTATTGTTTCAATTTGTTTGCATGTAACTTTATTGCATAGATTGTAATATTTTTATGTTCAATCACAGTCATATATTACTATTTTACCAGTTAACACAACAATTAATTTTTCAATATATGCTTAATGTGTATTAATCATATAGTATTATCACATTAATATTTCTCTTATAAATTATATTAATGTCAAGTTAATTTACTCACTCAAGTCTGTTGTTTAAATCCAGATATTTATCATGCCTTTAAAACGAAATTGAACTCAATGATGGTATCCCAGATAATAACTGTAGGGTTTCCTATCCAAACATTGATACAGCTGTTTCATTAGTCAGAGCTTGTGGTCAGTATTCGTACATGATGAAAGTAAACATCAACAATGCTTATCGTATTGTTCCTATACACCCAGATGATTTTGATACTTCTTGGATTCAAATAAATGATAGATATTATTACTTTACCTATGGGTCTGGGCTATTCTTGCGCATTGTTTGACAGGATCAGTTCTGATATTCAGTGAATTGCAGAAAACAAACTTGGTTTATATAATTGTGCACACATTCTAGATGATTTCTTTTTTGTTGGGGACAATTAACAACTGTGTGAAAAAGGTTAACAAATTTTAATTGCTGGTGTGCTTTAGTTGGTTTACCAATTAATCATGCTAAAACTTGTCGGCCATGCAGAATCATGTCTTTTGTTGGAATTGAATTGGACTCGGTACTAATGGAGAAAATATTGCCCCAAGAAAAATTTAATAAGATTCGCCTAGCTCTTGACAAATTCAAGCATCGGGAAAAAGCAACTCTCCTTGAACTACAGTCTGTTATTGGTTTGTTTAATTTTGCTTGTGCTGTTATTGTTCCAGGCAGGGCATTTTTACGTCGTATCATTGATCTAACTATTGGTTTAAAGAAATCTCACCATCATAGACAGTTATCAAAAGATGCTAGAACAGATTTTCTGGCATGGTCATCATTCATGTTTCAATTTAATGGCAAGTCGATGTTTCTACCTGACCTTTGAGTCACTTCTGTGTCATTAAATCTTTTCACAGATTCTAGTAATGTCAGATTTGGAGGGTACCTGTCAAACAAATGGTTTTCAGCCAGTTGGCCTAATGAATGGTTGAAATATCACATAACTGTACAAGAACTATTTCATATTGTTTAAGCTTGAAAGGCCCGTGTTAGTTTCACATTTACTGCTGTCTATAGCACATTGCTACAAATGGGGACTTGTACAGTTGTGTGCTAAAGAATAAGACTGTGGAACATTGGAGCTGCCTCCACTGCAGCGCAACAAGGTTTTTTCAGAAGAAAAGATTGAACTTACAGGCATATGGTCATCTTGTGCATTTAAAAAGTATATAAGAATTCCTATGTTACAAGTAACTCGATATATTTTAAAAAGGGGAAATACACTCGTTCCCCTTTTTAATGCACTATTTTTACATTATTTTCAGCTAAAGTAATGGTATTGTTTTGTGAAAAGTAAAAGACAAACAGCTAAAGTAAACATCCAAATTTTATTTTTTGTTTCTTTTGCAAATGTTTTCGGGGGAACCGTTCCCCCGAAGAACAAAAGCCATGTACAGAATACAACATGTTTTGATAAATATAAAGCAATTTTCAGTAATAAGAGATACATTATGCTTAAGGGGAAACCATTCCCTCATCGAAATAAAAAGTAAATTTCAAAACTTATCATAACATATTTTCTAAAGGGGAACCGTTCCCCTTTAACAAAATAGATATAACAATTTGATAGAATAAAATGTAATAATTTAGAAATTTAGAGCCATGTAAATGGTAAGAGGGAACCGTTCCCTCCTCAAAATAAAAAATAAATTTCAAAACTGATCTATCACAAATTTTCTAAAGTGGAACCGTTCCCCCTTAACAAAACTGGTACATGTATAACAATTTGATAGAATGAAATGCAGTAATATAGAAACTGAGAGCCATGCTACCGGTAAGAGGGAACCGTTCCCTCATCGAAATAAAAATAAATTTCAAAACTTATCTATGACACATTTTCTAGAGTGGAACCGTTCCCCCTTAAAATATATATAACAATTTGATAGAATAAAATGCAATAATTTAGAAATTACGAACAAGGTTACAAGTAAGAGGGAACCGTTCCCTCATCGAAATAAAAGACAAATTTCAAAACTTAAAACTACGACACATTTTCTAAAGTGGAACCGTTCCCCGTTAACAAAACAGATAAAACAATTTGATAGAATAAAATGCAATAATTTAGAAATTTAGAGCAAGGTTACAGGTAGGAGGGAACCGTTCCCTCATCGATATAAAAAACAAATTTCAAAACTTATCTGTAACACTTTTTCTAAAGTGGAACCGTTCCCCCTTAACAAAACAGATATAACAATTTGATAGAATAAAATGCAATAATTTAGAATTTTAGAGCCATGTAAATGGTAAGAGGGAACCGTTCCCTCATCAAAATAAAAAAATAAATTTCAAAACTTATCAATGATACATTTTCTAAAGTGGAACCATTCCCCCTTAACAAAACAGATACAACAATTTGATAGAATGAAATGCAATAATTTAGAAATTTAGAGCCAGGTTACCAGTAAGAGGGAACCGTTCCCTCATCAAAATAAAAAATAAATTTCAAAACTTATCACTTAACAATTTTCTTAAGTGGAACTGTTCCCCCTTAACAAAATAGATATAACAATTTGATAGAATAAAATGCAATAATTTAGAAATTTAGAGCCAGGTTACCAGTAAGAGGGAACCATTCCCTCCTCAAAATAAAAAATAAATTTCAAAACTTATCTATAACAAACTTTCTAAAGTGGAACCGTTCCCCTTAACAAAACAGATACATGTATAACAATTTGATAGAATAAAATGCAGTAATATAGAAATTTAGAGCCATGTTACTGGCAAGAGGGAACCGTTCCCTCATGACAACTTAACCAAAATTCAATAATTTGAACTTGACAGTCAATGTGATTTAAAGCTCAAGGTCAAGGTCTGTTCAACCTTTCAGCATGTCTTGTCCAAATGGTTGTTTTGTCTAAGTTTGAAATACTCCATTGATTACTTACAAAGTTACAGCCAACAAGAGGGCCAAAATGACCCTAGATCGCTCACCTGACCCATCAAACCCATATTATATTAAACTCCTGTGACCTAGTATTTCATCTGAGATGACACATGTTCGAACTCATCCGAGCAATTACCTAGACAAGCATCCTGACCAAGTTTCATGACAGGTGAGTCAAACATGTGACCACTAGAGTGTTAACAAGGATTTTCCATATTTGAGCAGTGTGACCTAGTTTTTGACCCCAGGTGACCCATATTCAAATTTGACATAAAAATCATCAAAACAAACTTTCAGTCCAGGATATTTGGATGAAAACAGTAGCCATTAGAGTGTTAACAAGATTTTTCTATTTTTAGCTCCTGTGACCTAGTTTTTCATCTGAGATGACCCATGTTCAAACGCAAGCTCAGGTGAGCTAAAAAGAATAACATTTTAACAGTTTAAACATTTGACACCGTGACTTGGAAGGTCAAGATATTTTAAGACTCAAGGTCAAGTTCAGTCTGGTCTACTTGAAGGTCTTGTCAAAAGGGTTGTTGTGAAGAAAATTGAATCCATTTTGTAATGAAATAATTGCCAATGTTAAAGTTTTAGGATGACAACAAGAAAGTAAGGCATGACTGTACATAGCAATAGCTCACACTCTTTTATTCTTAAAAAAAATTGAGCTGAAAACTAACAAGAGCACCGCTAGGCCAAATGTGGGCCAAATGGAACTTAAGTTATTCTCCGGAAACTGTTTTCACTTTTAAAGTAATAGTGACCTTGACCTCTGACCTTGTGATCCCAAAATCAATAGTGGTCTTCTACCCAATATGGACAATCATCCTATGAAGTTTTTATATTGTGGGCCAAATGAAACTTAAGTTATGTTCCGGAAACTGTTTTCAGTTCTAAAGTAATAATGACCTTGACCTTTGACCTTGTGACCCCAAAATCAATAGGGATTTTCTACCCAATATAGACAATCATCCTATGAAGTTTGAACACTGTGGGCCAAATGGAACTTAAGTTATGCTCCGGAAACTGTTTTCAGTTTTAAGGCAATAATGACCTTGACCTTGTGACCCCAAAATCAATAGGGGTCTTCTACCCAATATGGACAATCATACTATGAAGTTTGAACACTGTGTGCCAAATGGAACTTAAGTTATGCTCCGGAAACTGTTTTCAGTTCTTGACCTTTGATCTTGTGACCTCAAAATCAATAGGTGTCTTCTACCTAATAATAATATGGACAATCATCCTTGGGTAACAGTATTTTCTTCGGGATGATATTTTTACTGTTACTAACAAACCCATGTGTTATTTATATACTGATACCCAGTCACACAAGTACCTCTGGGTTCGTACGGAGGAACAGATGCCAGGGGGTATAACATAATATGCCCGAAATTGTTTCGGGCATATTAAAATTCAACACATCATTTCTCCCCAATGAGATTTATCCATCTATAATGTATTAAGTTTCACTAACATGTAGATACCTCCTCTTGGTGGATGGATATATGGACATTCCGACACATTTACTAAGTTGTTATAAAGTTTTGAAAACATAATGATTCCTAGTGTTTTACTGCATTATAATGTTTGTTCATTCAACATGTTGTTAAACATGCACATTTTTGCACTAAAATTGCACCTTTCAACATCTCTCTTTACAGCCATATAGCCATATAGATATTGTTACCAAACAATATTCAACAACCATCTTCAGTATATCAAATGAAAGTTTCAACAAAACTTATGCAAAGTTTAAGCACATGTTCCATTGCTCCTCTACGATGAATAGGGAAAATCTTCTTGACAACAATATCTGAAAATAAACAAAAAAACTATTTTACTTTTTTTATATTTCAAAATTTGATAAATAAAGTACTTCATATGATAATTCTTAAATAAATTTAAATTCTGAATAAGATATGCATTGCCTTCAAAAGACAGACATTTATTTAGAGGCCAAATTATCCAAACAAATTTTCTAACTAAACTTAAGATTAACAAGATATGTTTGTAAAACATGTATGCCCCCTATCAGCAGCCAATTAGTCATGTGATAAGGTTATTATGCATGACATCTGACCCAGTGATCAAACAATTAATAAGGGTTATCAAGTACCTACTGGTCATGACCTTAACCTTTGACCCCTTGACCCAAAACTCAAAAGGGGTCATCTGCTGGTCACGACCAATCATCAAAGTTTGAAGTTCCTAAGCCTAAGCGTTTTTAATTAATTGATCGGAAACCGTTTTTACCTTCAAGGTCAATGTGACCTTGACCTTTGACCCCTTGACTCCAAAATCAATAGGTCATCTGCTGGTCATGACCAATCACCATGCCAAGTTTGAAGTTCCTAGGCCTAAGCGTTCTTAAGTTATTGATCAGAAACTGTTTTTACTTAAAAGGTCAATGTGACCTTGACCTTTGACCCCTTGACCCAAAACTCAATAGGGGTCATCTGCTGGCCACGACCAATCATCATACAAAGTTTGAAGTTCCTAGGCCTAAGCGTTTTTAGTTAATTGATCGGAAACCGTTTTTACCTACAAGGTCAATGTGACCTTGACCTTTGACCCCTTGACCCCAAAATCAATAGGTCATCTGCTGGTCATGACCAATCACCATACCAAGTTCGAAGTTCCTAGGCCTCAGGGTTCTTAAGTTATTGATTGGAAAGCATTTTTACCTACAAGGTCAATGTGACCTTGCCCTTTGACCCCTTAACCCCAAAATCAATAGGAGTCCTCTACTGATCATGCCCAATCACCATATCAAGTTTGAAATCCCTAGGCCTAAGGGTTCTTTCGTTATTGATCGGAAACAGTTTTTACCTACAAGATCAATGTGACCTTGACCTTTGACCCCTTAACCCAAAAATCAATAGGGGTCATCTGCTGGTCATGACCAATCACCATACCAAGTTTGAAATTCCTATGCCTTAGGGTTCTTTGGTTATTGATCAGAAACCGTTTTTACCCAAGAGGTCAATGTGACCTTGACCTTTGACCCCTTGACCCCAAAATCAATAGAGGTCATCTACTGGTCATGACCAATCACCATACCAAGTTTGAAGTTCCTAGGCCTTAAGGTTCTTTAGTTATTGATCGGAAACCGTTTTTGCTTACAAGGTCAATATGACCTTGACCTTTGATCCCTTGACCCCAAAATCAATAGGGGTCATCTACTGATCATGACCAATCACCATACCAAGTTGAAGTTCCTAGGCCTTCAAGTTCTTTAGTTATTGATCGGAAACCGTTTTTGCTTACAAGGTCAATGTGACCTTGACCTTTGACTCCTTGACCCCAAAATCAATAGGGGTCATCTACTGGTCATGACCAATCACCATACCAAGTTTGAAGTTCCTAGGCCTTCAAGTTCTTTAGTTATTGATCGGAAACCGTTTTTGCTTACAAGGTCAATGTGACCTTGACCTTTGACCCCTTGACCCTAAAATCAATAGGGGTCATCTACTGATCATGACCAATCACCATACCAAGTTTGAAGTTCCTAGGCCTTCAAGTTCTTTAGTTATTGATCGGAAACCGTTTTTGCTTACAAGGTCAATGTGACCTTGACCTTTGACCCCTTGACCCCAAAATCAATAGGGGTCATCTACTGATCATGACCAATCACCATACCAAGTTTAAAGTTCCTAGGCCTTCAAGTTCTTTAGTTATTGATCAGAAACCCTTTTTGCTTACAAGGTCAATGTGACCTTGACCTTTGACCCCTTGACCCCAAAATCAATAGGGGTCATCTACTGATCATGACCAATCACCATACCAAGTTTGAAGTTCCTAGGCCTTAAGGTTCTTTAGTTATTGATCGGAAACCGTTTTTGCTTACAAGGTCAATGTGACCTTGACCTTTGACCCCTTGACCCCAAAATCAATAGGGGTCATCTACTGATCATGACCAATCACCTTACCAAGTTTGAAGTTCCTAGGCCTTAAGGTTCTTTAGTAATTGATCGGAAACCGTTTTTGCTTACAAGGTCAATGTGACCTTGACCTTTGACCCCTTGACCCCAAAATCAGTAGGGGTCATCTACTGGTCATGACCAATCACCATACCAAGTTTGAAGTTCCTAGGCCTTAAGGTTCTTTAGTTATTGATCGGAAACCGTTTTTGCTTACAAGGTCAATATGACCTTGACCTTTGAGCCCTTGACCCCAAAATCAATAGGGGTCATCTACTGGTCATGACCAATCACCATACCAAGTTTGAAGTTCCTAGGCCTAAGGGTTCTTTAGTTATCACTCGGAAACCATTTGGTCTACGGACCAACAAGTGCAAAGCAATATACCCCCTTTTCTTCGAAATGGGGGCATAATAATTATTTATATCTACAATTGCATATTAATTATAGACCATATAAAAAAATTTTATTGCATCATTATTTTTTGTGAAAGTGAGAGGTTAAGGACAGGAATCATTGACAAATTTCTTTATAGGCCAAGCTATTTTTACTTAACAAAATATATGCTCTCTTTAGAGGTGATATATAAAAGAGTAATTGATCTTAAATTTCCTCAAGACAAGAGGACTGTGATGACTATAGAGTTTCACATGGTTGATGAACAAAACAGGCAAAGAGAATTGTATTTGGTAAAGTACTGTCTAAAGTATCATTTTAGCACATTTTGTAGATATTGTACAAGTACTTACTTAATTTAACTGTGACCAGTATATCTAGTTGTTGAAGGTAAGCATTTTTATCCAAGATATGACCTGAAATGAGGTTAATATTTACATTATAACAATTAACAAATGCATATTTAATGTGGTCCAAAGGAATGCTGTAGTAACTGGAACAATACTGTCTCAACCAATATCAGATATTTGATGTATATTCAATTCAAAGAACAGAGTTCAGATAAGCAGACAATGGGGTGTGCTTGGCTTAGATAAGTTGACTTCAAATCACTTGCAACTCACTGCTCTGAGTTTGAATACCACTGATGACTATGTGTACTTTCATGTGAGAGAAAACTACATAAATCAAAGAAGCTTACAGAATGTTTGGTTTATTCTACTCAGGTTACCTGGGCTCATGCCTGACATAATGCATCACTGCTATGACTTTGACCGAGGGACATAAGTACAGCAACGGCAAAACATCATCTACTAATGGTGGCTGCATTAAACCAATTTCATTTTTTGAAAATCCTAGATCATTCATAAGCAGAAGTTAAAAACCCTAAAATCCTTAAACACTACAACAACTTTGTACTCTGATAAGTGGTCAATTCACGATTAACATTTTCTTCTTTTAATTAGTTTTTGTTATCACTTGTCTCTTTCCATCATCACATCTATTTTGGCTTGGCTCAGTTTACAGGCTTTGGACACTAAAATTTTAAGCAACTATTTTTTAACTGTTTTGTACCATTACAAACTTATTCAAATTGTGTTATAGTATTTAAATTTTTAGGAAAATAATAAGAGTAAATAAATAGCAGATATATGCTAAACCTGCTAAATTTCTGAAATAGACTTTGTCTAGCTTGAATTTATAAAACTTCCAATTATCAATTTTGTTAGGGCTAAAACAATAAAGGCCTGGCTATGTCTTTTAAAGGCCTGCAGTGGCTACCAATTCCGGCTGACCAGCAGGTTTCTATGAAAGTTAAATGGTAACTCGGTTGCTATTAGAAAATAAAATATTGCTATGGAAGTCACTGGTTCTTATGAAAAGTCTGTAACTGATATGAAAAAAGAAAAGAAAGCGCAACAGTTTGCTATGGAAAGATAAAAGGTTGCTTTGGAACAATAAGTCACCTAGTTGCTATGTATAAACACTGGTTACTAAAGGATTAAGTTGATGCTGGTAGAAATAATAGGTACAATGTTCTTGAGAAATGTATTTCAAGGGTCATTATGGAAAATTACTGGGTTAAGGGAAGTCAATTTCATTTCATGGAAAGTCATGGTTGCTATGGCAGTCTCCAGTTAGTAATGAAATATCACTAGTTGCTATGGAAAGAAATGGTTGCTATGGGAGTCATTGGTTGCTTTGTAAAGTCATAGATTGCTACTTAGCAGTCACTGAATGTTATGAAAAGTCACTGGTCCCAGTGTCAGCATTTTCCCCCTACTTTGTTAATCGTGCGCCTGGTACCAAACAAAATTGGGAAAAATGCATAGCATGCACTCAAATTGAGAATTTAACATAAATATACACCAAGCATTCATGGGGAATTTTTTTCTAATCCAGAGAGACTTTAGTATTATGCATAATATACACTTTTAATAGGGGCTGTCATTGATGGCAAATTTTGTATCGATATATCGAGAGACAAATATCGACGTCACGATACATCGATATATGGACTTTGACAGTGGATACAATAAAAAACATTATTTTTTTATATGTGTTATAAATTGGGATCATGGTGTTTTTCACTGTTATGCATACTTGTATTACACATTTCAAATACTACAAACTAGCAGAAAGTTTTTTTTCTGTTATTCTAAAATGTCACTGACATTTGAAAACGGAGTTTTAAAGTTCAAGTTAACCAAGACTAGAATTCCGCGAGTGTCGGTATGTGTCGCCTTGTGAACAATGTAGTTTAGGAGAAATGGCCAGTACAAAAATGAAATATGAAAAATAACAAAGGCAATAAACTAAAAAATAATAAGTGCAGAGCAGCAGTTTCTGTGCACTGCACTTCTTATCAATAAGATCTATCATTCTATGATGTTTCAAGTCCATAGCTTTCATAATTGAGGAGAAATGACCAGGACAAAAATAAAGTAAGAAAATCAACAAAGGGCAATAACTCAAAAAAATAAGAAATGCAGAGTATCAGTTCTTATGCACTGCACTTTTTCCGGTTACACGACTTACCGGAATCGACCGGAATCGGCGGTGAATTACCGGAATCGACCTGTAACTTTGTAATAATTAAACTTTTTTAAGTTTTTTTTTTCAATTTTATAAAATATAAACAATATAAATGATTTATGAAAAGATTTTTGTAAATAAAATCGCTTTTGATTAATTTAACAAGAGATCTAATATCGGCGAGCTACTGCCAAACTGCCCGTGACCGGAATCGGTCTGTTATTTCGTTGTTTATGCACCTTTTAATGTTCCTTTTGCATGTTTTTATAAAACCTAAATATTATCACTTTTTCTTAATGAGATCTATCATCCTATGAAATTTCAAGTCCATAACTTTTATACTTTCGGAGAAATGGCCTGGACAAAAATTAAGAATGAAAATTAACAAAGGGCCATAACTCAAAAATTAAGAAATGCAGAGTACCGATTCTTGTGCACTGCACTTCTTCTTAATGAGATCTATCATCCTATGAAGTTTCAAGTCCATAGCTTTTATACTTAAGGAGAAATGGCCCGGACAAAATTAAAGTATGAAAATAAACAAAGGGCAATAACTCAAAAAATAAGAAATGCAGAGTACCTGTTCTTGTGCACTGCACTTCTTCTTAATGAGACCTATCATCCTATGAAGTTTCAAGTCCATGGCTTTTATACATTAGGAGAAATGGCCCGGTCAAAAATAAAGTATGAAAATTAACAAAGGGCAATAACTCAAAAAATAAGAACTGCAGAGTACCGGTCCTTGTGCAGTGCACTTCGGGTTATTGAAAGAAGCATGCATACCAAGTTTGAAGTCAATCAGACTTATAGTGACTGAGTTATGCTCCGGACAAGCTTTAGGGGACGCCGACAACGACGCCGACACAGACGCCGCCGACAAAAGTAACCCCTATATGTCACCTTTTCAAGGCGACACAAAAACTAGAAAAAAGTGACTTCTCTTATGAGCCAAAATAGATAGGTATATAGTTAAACTAACAGAAATATTAATTTTTTCAGTTTGTATCGATATGTGAAAGTGTGTATCGATATCGTATCGGATGATGAATATTGATGATATATCGATATCGCGATAATCAATGACAGCCCTAACTTTTAACCATGTTTTACAAACAATGAGACACTTACATGTAACTCTAATGAGTTGTTTTCCTATTTGAATATTAGAAAACGGAGTACATAAATTATATAAATGTTCAGGAGTAAACAATAGAAGACTGGGTACGAATATGGCAATAATTGGGTCATGTGGTTAGACTTATTTTTTCATTGCATATATCACTTAACAATATGGAAATCAGTTAAAATACACCAAAACAACACATATTTTTTTTTTTTTAAATCTTTAAAAAGTCTGTAACTTATCCTTAGTGGTATCCATAGCAACTAGTGACTTATTTTCCAAATATTTAACAATATGGAAATAATTTACGAATTCTTGCAGGGAATTTTCAACTTTGACCCTAAGGGCAAAAGATCTCTAAGCAAACTAACCGTTACAGTTTCCACCATAGGAACTCGAGAACGGGACCGCAAATTGCGGCGCATATTTTCAATCGTGCAACGGTTTTTAAAAACGTTTCTGCTACATCTAAATATCTTTTAGTATTATCCGAGTATATGCCCTCAAAAAATATATTATCAAATGAACCTAATCTGTCTCTTTTAAAACTGGTCAAATTTTACGGTATTATAAAAAAAGGCAAGGAGTGACATCCGTCATTCGCCGCAATGTTTTCGGCATGAGTTTTTCCCCTTTGGCTACAATTGATTACTATTTTTTCAGAATTTTGTTCCCGTTATTTTTGTCAACTATCAGGTATAGTCCAGATATAATGTTCACGGTTTATCAAAGGTTACACGTGTTGAGTCTGTTGACATGTATAGGCGGCATAATAATGGGCGTATATGTGTTTTGATTTGTTAACATGGAGAAAACAGACACTTAAGTAATATGGTCCAACTGATTTTGCCTTTAGAACTGAAAAAAAAAGGAATATTTAAAGGGATATTCAGGCAAAATAATGACAACAATGATTAAAATGATCTTATGTACTCAAATCACGCTAAAATGACATTTCTGGAAGTTTCAGCTTGAATTTCTGTTTAAATTCTATATATTTTGGGTTTGAAGCGTAAATATATCTATATATAATGAACAAAATTTAGACGCCAATAGAATCACCAAATAGTTTTTAAACAAGTCAGTTGACTTGAACAAACCATTGAAGTTACAATAACAGATATTGTGGATATTGTATGATTGAAACAAGCCTAAGTCATTCATTTGACATGTTCTTTAACGTTTCCAGAGTTCACTTTGACAACTATTGTGAAATGCTAGCGCTCTAACCTGACCCACGCAGGTCAAGTTAGGAATCCACCATTTTATTCTTTATATGGAGAAAAGTTTTGTTCCTTTGACTGCCTAAAGTATTCATTTTGAGGGCATTTACAGAGTAATGAATGAAAAATTCAAAACTATAAAGAAATGAAAATTTTGCCTGTGCCTCCCTTTAAAACATGATCCATAGATAAAATATATTTTAGGCACTCATCTGGTATTCATTACTAGGAAATGTGAAAGCTTTCCATGTATTGAGTGACATAAGGAGAGTACTAGAAAAATCAAAACAAAAATCAAGCATATCAAGGGGGATTATAACTTACAATTTGTACGCCGAACGTTGCGGTAAAGGCGGATGTCACTCATTTTCTTTTTTCAATATACCGTAAATTTGACTGATTTTTAAATTAGCAGATTACATTAAATTCGATATCAGATTGCAAACATCGACGAGATTAGGTAATTAAAGACCACCCGCTCGCATAATATGAAAAGATATTCAAAAACTGTGGTTATTATATTCATTTACTGGCCTCTATCCATATCTATACACCATCACACTAAACAGAACACTTCAATGACTAAAGTTACAATATGGAATCACTAGTTCACTTGACTATATACAGAGTTCAAACTTAAATGTATATTAACTAGAATGACTAGTTTACATGACTAGAGTAGAAAAACATAAATATTACATAAAAAAATTCAAATTTGTGCATGATTTTTGTATGTAGGTGTTAAATAATAGTGACTGAAGTCATAAAGTATTGACACTTGAACACAGTGGGTACAAAAACACAGTTGATAATAAGGATGCAAAGGAATTTGATTTTGAAAATATACATTTCTGGAAATAACTGTAATTTAATATGAATTTATCAAATTGAAATACAATTTTATTGACTTTTTATGACATTTTTGTAATTTTATTGTTCATTCAGAACAAGGATTTGTAAACCATTGTTACGCTTTTACTTGACAAAGTTAGAATAATTATTTATTTTATTTATATAGATCTACATATTTATTTATTTATTTTGTAAATCATAAAATGTTAGGAATTTTCTAAATTATTTTATTGTTAAGTAATAGCCTACTGATTATATTGTTTTTACAATCGGTCCTGTTAACCTTGCCCCAATCATTGTTTACGACTCAAGTTAAATGTATTGCCGCTGAGTAAAATGGCAGTCATACAACGAATCTAACTTGGGACTAATTTTGAGTTAACAACCCCTTTTTCATCAACAAACCCAAAATGTTCCCAAATGGGAATTGGCTTTGAAATTTTAGCCTTCTTTTTGGAGGCAGTACACAGTTTCGGCTGTTTAGTTTCGAATTGGCCAGGGTGGAATTTACAAATAAGAGACAGTTTTGAAATTGAAGTGGATATTTGAGGTTCTAAATGTTTATAGTTACTATATTTCAAGTTTCAATGACTAGTATTGTGTTTCAGTTATTTAGTAAAATTGAATTTAGTGGTGTTAACCCTTGCTTTTTTGAGAGAGCACCTGTCGGATGCGAACATGTGGTTTTTGGAGCTAGGCGGTGAATCAGCTCTTCAATTTAAAGGGTATGCAGAAGACTTGAAATAGTGAAAAAAGTAGGTGCATGACTCCCCGTTTGTATGTTATTTTCAGATTGTGCATTGTTTAAGAAGGAAGAATCACTATAGCTTGTGATTTAATCTTTTGACGTTAATATATTGTTGTATTTTGCGAATAGGGGTAATCCGCTTATTTTGTCGTTGATTTTCGCGACCAAAACAATGAAAAACACAGGGCTGTGTGCCAGAAAACTAGAAGGTGGACATGTATTTTTAATTGTTTGCTGTGAGATACATATATATATGTTAAATATGAAATGCATTTATTTCAGGTGTGTGATTACAGACTTGTGTGTGAGGTTTTGATTGTGGCGCAGTCAGTTGTTTGCCGAGAAGCCTTGAAAACTGTGTATTGCCCCCTTAAGAGCAAAATTTGATTTTTTGTAAGTACTTTTTAATATCATAATTACATGTTTATATTGACCCAAAGCTGTGGCAATGGTGAAATATGAGCTTTTAAAGTGCATATTTTGCCTCATGTCTATATTAGAGAGCAAAATCAAGGGGAGGTAATTCTTCATTGACAGTTAAAAATCATGCATTTAAGTGTTTGGTGAGCTATTCATCTTCACATTTAAGCTCACCTGAGTCATTTTCTCTAACATAGTGGTTCTAGGAGCATCAAATGATAGAAATAAGCAATTTTCGTATAAATTTTTGGACTATCGCATCGATTCCAACCATTTTAGTTCAAATGAAGGCCTCGGATCGGGCATTTTTTTCGAGACCAGTCCATTTTTTAAAGTAATTTCTGAACATGTTTTTCAGAACTGTTTCATACTGGGAGTGGTCATAAATGGTTGAAATAGCCTAAATACTTGAATAAATATCAATTTTGATCTATCTGACAGTTTTTTTAACTTTGATAAGCAGATTTTGAAGGGACGGTCAAGAATAAACATAAAACAGCTGATTTTGCTCAAACGCGAAACACATCGCAATCAATTTTCCTTTCGCAATGTCATAAATTAGCATTATGTAAATCAGTTTCACTTTTAAATCCTTGAAATGTCATTTTGCTATGTATCTTGAAGCAGATTTCTTTCAAAGAATGACAATTTTTCATTGTCTGTAGCTCGAAATTCTAGCATGGCAGCTTTTTTGCGGAATAACTGAACATTGAAAATCTTGATACAACACATGCTCTAGAGCAGAAATTGGAGCAGGAGAGAAGTTGGCACATCTTAAAATGGATTGAAAATATGCCTGAATATATGCTTAGCATGAAAGAATGTTAGTAGAATTGTAAATGCATCATAATCATGTGTTTTGTGGACTTTGAAATACTTCTTGTTTTGTCATTAAAAAATGGGTAATGTTAAGGTAAATTCTCAGCATTCATGACCTTTTTTTATTGGCAATATTTGCTGAAGCATGTAGTGCCCTTATATAATTCAGTGGTAAATTTCATTCAAATTGATCAAATTATAGAAATGAAGGTCAAAATTGTGGTTTTAAAAATGTTTTGTTGTGCTTTAAGGAGGCAGTACACAGTTTCGGCTGTTTAGTTTCGAATTGGCCAGGGTGGAATTTACAAATAAGAGACAATTTTGAAATGGAAGTGGATATTTGAGGTTCTAAATGTTTATAGTTGCTATATTTCAAGTTTTAATGACTAGTATTGTGTTTCAGTTATTTAGTAAAATTGAATTTAGTGGCGTTAACCCTTGCTTTTTTGAGAGAGCACCTGTCGGATGCGAACATGTGGTTTTTGGAGCTAGGCGGTGAATCAGCTCTTCAATTTAAAGGGTATGCAGAAGACTTAAAATAGTGAAAAAAGTAGGTGCATGACTCCCCGTTTGGATGTTATTTTCAGATTGTGCATTGTTTAAGAAGGAAGAATCACTATAGCTTGTGATTTAATCTTTTGACGTTAATATATTGTTGTATTTTGCGAATAGGGGTAATCCGCTATTTTTGTCGTTGATTTTCGCGACCAAAACAATGAAAAACACAGGGCTATGTGCCAGAAAACTAGAAGGTGGACATGTATTTTTAATTGGTTGCTGTGAGATACATATGTATATGTTAAATATGAAATGCATTTATTTCAGGTGTGTGATTACAGACTTGTGTGTGAGGTTTTGATTGTGGCGCAGTCAGTTGTTTGCCGAGAAGCCTTGAAAACTGTGTATTGCCCCCTTTGCCCCAACAATTTTAATGTTTTCAGCCATTTTTAAGTGTTGCTAAGATATGGGCATAGACTAAAATGTAGACAATTGTGAATGATGAATCTCAGATCAAGACAGTTTAAATTAAGTATAATGATAATTGATTTAGATCTATTGGATTTTTATTTTCAAATTATTTTTTAAAATTGGATTGTTTTGTTTATATAATTTTCAACACAGAGAAATATGTTTTTTCTGAAGTGCAAATACAGCTACCATACAGTAGCTGTCCATTTAGTAGTCACGGTATAGTTTTAGACATGTCCTTTTGACAGGGCACCTGTTTCCGTTTATGTTTTGAGTTAATTTTCGTCGTTTCCACAGGTACTTGAAACAAACTATTTTAATGTTCTGTATGGGCTATATACTATAGTATTTTCTAGACTTTTAATAATTAGTGAAAGTATCGATTTTTTAAAATTTGAATCGATAATCGATCGACAAAAAAATATCAATGATACATCGATATCGCTTCTATCGATGACAGCTCTAAATATGCGGACAAAAGCCCCCCCCCCATCTAAAAATGACAAGGTGGACAAAAGCCCCCCACCCCCATGAAATATACACATAGGACAAAAGCCCCCCCCCCCCCCCCCCCCCCCCATCAAAAAATACAGGTAGGACAAAGCCCCCCCCCCCCAGTCCATGAAACATTGTTATTGAGAATCTCGTCAGGCTTACAGACAACTCACCCCCAGACGATTCACCCTAAGCCATTTTTTTCCAGACAATTCACCCATCAGACAGTTCACCCCACATTATTGGATTTTTGACACAGACAATTCACCCCCCATTTTCTTAACTTTAATTTTGATGAAATTTATCTTAAAATTAGAAGATGCAATAAACAAATTTGTTGTGTTTCTTTACTAAATTGATATTTATAAATTAGTCATATTTAAATTAATTATAATAATTTTTTACTTAAAAAATAATATTTGTTACTATGTGATTATATTTTTACATATTATTTACATACAAACTATAAAAATTACAAATTCACCATATTTGTCTTAATTTGTTTAAGTGCTAGTGATGCTATTATAAGATGACATATCTGGAACATACGATACGTACATCCCAGGACATATCAAAGATATTAACATGTGATAATCATTTGCTCTTTAATCCCTTTCATTTTGAAAGGAATTAATTAATGATTATCAATAGGCCTTAATCCCTTTTACACTTCCGTTGATCGTAATCAAGCAATGATAAGGTGATAAGAATAATTAAACAGTTGTACATGTTTGCATAAAAATATCAAGATTAATATTATGGGCAATTCCCTCAATATAGATTATGTGCTATTTGATTTGATTAAATAAAATTATATATTTGTTGTAAACATCATGGTATATGACTGTGCTGTTATGTTTTGTAAATATGACATAATAAATAAATAAATAAATATACCGACTTTTTAAATCTTTTTTACCCATAAACATGATTATCATTTATGAGGGGTGAATTGTCTTATCTATTTTGAGGGGTGAACTGTCTTGAGGGGTGAGTTGTCTTGCTTTTTTGAGGGGTGAATCGTCTGGGGGGTGAGTTGTCTTGTTACCGTTTAATTCCAGAACTTGATGTATTGAGACAAGTCAAATGCAATTGTTTTAAAAGATAATTTACATTAAGATTTAAATTTAAAGGTACAAAAGTTCTAATTTGATTTATTGTGTAATTCGTATATAATTCATTGATGATATGAATGTTTTGATGTTTATTATATATTGTACAGTACAAAATTAATGTAAATGAATATTTTCAGAGAATCATTTATCAATGCTTATCAAGGAAATAAAAGTGGAAGGCGCATACTTGTCCAGATTTATTTGAAGTATAACCCAAGTTCCCTAACACTGGGCATGTGATAAAAGATAGTTATCAGTCTGGTCTATAAACCTTAGGGGGGCTTTTGTTTGCTGTACTGGGGGGGGGGGCTTTTGTCCTACCTGTATTTTTGATGGGGGGGGGGGCTTTTGTCCTATGTGTAAATTTTATGGGGGCTTTTGTCCACCTTGTCATTTTTTTAGAAGGGGGGGGGGGCTTTCGTCCGGGGGGGGGGGCTTTTGTCCTACACTCCAAAAAAAAACCTCTAGTAATTGATTTTGGTTTAGCAGTAGTAGGGGAAAACATCTTATCCCTGTGCCCCAACCCAACCACTATATTATTTACAAGATTTATTCCGTATTCTTTTATGTAGATCTATTATATAAACAGTATAGATCTAGTAGATAGCCGATACAATATACTGCTAGATCTACAGGTTTTACTTCTGAAAATTATATAAAAACTGGTCTAATCCAGATGATTTCCAATTTGTTTATAGACTAAGAAAAAAACTCACCAAAAACTGCAAAATGTATCCGTGTTCGTTCATTTCCCCTTCCACATCACAAATATCCCTTTTGAAGTTTACTATCTCCGGCACAAAACCTTTTGGATGACCGAATATTTAACTTTCCACGGTAATCACACAACGGGGTCAATGCAGTTGATGACGCAAAAGTGGACGACTTCATTTTCACGCCATTGAAGGGGTGTCCAGCTCGATGCCAGTGTGTAAACGTTTTAATGATATTTCTGATGAATCAACATTTCAATTATTTATAACTGATGGAAAGGATAATTTAATTATCCTATAAAACCTGGGACAAAAGGTATTTTTAAGTCACAGATAAACGAAAATGCTTTCACGAAAATTGTGTCCTGCATACGGAGTACCTGACTCCCCCGTGTAAGCGTATCGATTTGTCCGTTGCCGCCGAAACTCTTTGAACTTCGAGCGGGTGCCTGTGTAGTTTAAAGACACGCAAAGCTGAGGTTTAAACGGGTAAATTAACTGTTACAAGAGGTCTCGTTTAAATTTGCCGTAGACATGCGGGATGTTTCTTAAAGACTAGGTGAGTAAATTAACTGACTTCTGTAGATCTATATATAACTTCTTAAATTTTGTAATTTATTTACAATATAGAAATCTAGATAGAATTAAATCTTGAGTTGTCCGATTGATTTTACCTAAAATATGTTTAATCTTGTTATTCATGAAAATTGCAATATAGATCTAATATCAAAATATTTAAATAAAAAAATCATTTTTATTTGTTTGGGTCGTCAGACCAAACAAATAATGGTAGCGAAATTTCAGAGTATAATGTTCTTAATTGCAAATGCCGAAAGTAGTCCACTTTTTTGAAGCGGTTACTTCCCTTTTGTATGTACACTAAAGCCGAAAAATTCAGGGGAGATCACTGCGTAAAGATGGTCAAAGACAGGCGCATCAATTTTCAAGCACAGTAATTCCCGAATGGTCGAAGGTTTCTAATATTGTTTTATTGTATTTTCTGATCGAAAATAACTAAATACAAAGCGGACATTCAATCTCTGACACAGAAGTTTACAACAAACCTAACAACAAGTAGTTCTCAAAACAGCTTAAAACTAGCGATTTAAAAGAAAGAAATATTTTATTTTGTTACAAGTATCCAACAAATTACAACGCATTTAAAGTTAAACAATAGCGTTGGCTTATAGAATTGTCAATAAATGCACAATCACAAATTACGCGGATGAATATGATTTTATCAATGAAAATACTATTTATCACCGAATACTACACAAACCGAGTAGTGGAATATATAGATTCTACATGTCGGACTGTTTGGGCGAGAGGATTTTCGCTAAAATATTTACTTCAATTTTAAACAACAGGTTTTCCCTGAACAAAATACCTCGAAATTAATAAGGATTACAAACCCGAAATGCAATGGAAGTTCTCAATTTAGAATGACTTGATATTATTCAGACCATCTGAGTATAACTTCTCCGTGGTACAGTGGTAACGCGCTCGCTTAGTGAGTGAGAGGTCTCGAGTTCGAATCCCAGTCGAGAAAATTTTTTTTCTGATAAATTCTTTTTTAAGTGTTTTTGTTAAGGAAGTAGCCATGATATGCAAGGATAAAGTGTGACTGTCGTAAAAAATGAACATAAATAATTTTTTGATGCAACTCTAGTAATGCAGAATTCCGTATGTATCAAACTCTGGTGCCTTGCAAAATGAATTATAATACATAAAAATAAACCTATACAGGAAAATGCATACAGATATACAGTACGATTTAGATTGCAAAGATCAGAAAATACCACAGAACTTGCAGCACTTTGATTTTTTATAAATATAAATGCTTATAGTAAGCTCCAGGATTATTTACATCTGTGTTAAACAACAGTTAAAGTCGTAACAAGCCCTAATTTAGAATAATATGGTTTTCTTCAGCCCGTTCACATATAAATTCACCATGGCTGAAGGGTTTTCGGGCTCGCTTAGGAAGCGAGAGGTCTGGAGTTCAAATCCCAGTAAAGGTAACTCTTTTTTTTTCAAATTGTTAAAGTCACATAAACATTGGATTGAATATCAGTGTTGCAATTAGTCTTATAGCCAATTTACTACAATTAAAACGCTGGAAAGCATTGGTGGCACTATACATATAATCTCACAACCTGCACCTTTCTTACATTCTGAGACCCAAACAAATTCAGCACCTTCTGTGCTTTGATTTTGTAATATTGTTCTTTTTTTAATACTTTGATTTAGATGTAATGGTCTTAATTTTTCAGAAACATGTAGTCTTAGACTCTAGTGGCTCAACTGCCTTATAGTCTTATCACAGTAAATACTTCAGTGACAGACCGCTATGACTTCAAAACAGGGACTCAGACTGAAATACAATAAAATATTTCAGTAAAGATCATGAGTAATTGAAGAGATTTTAATGGATGGGAGTGGGACTCACATGAAATAGAGTTTCCTTTTAGGTATGTATATTTTTTTAAAGCAATTTTCGCTTGAACCATCCTAGTACAAAAAAAATAGGGAATATTTGGTGTGAATACATTATTTAAGAATTTCAATATTTAGACACCAGTAAGCGAGTAAGGTTCCCTTGCATTATTTTCCTCACTGTAGGTGTGTTTGCATAATC